AGAGGAAACCTCAAACAGAAAACTCCCAGCAGACGCCCCGGAAAGGGGAAGCAGCCGGAGGCCCCTCCGAGCTCTCGGACGGCTCCTGGGAAGTGGCTTTCCGATACGTTTTCCTCCCTGCCCCACCGCTCTATTTTCACCTTCGCTGCTGCCGGGATCAGAGCAGAAAGGGAGGCAGGGGGAGCAGAGCCCGAGGCGCTCGCGTGACTCCAGGCCCCCACGAAGCATGTGCTTTCCCCCGTCCTACAGCAGCCTCCCATCCCGGAAAGTCGGAGGTGGTGCTGAGCCGAGGGAAAAAGCAGCCCGGCGTGAAAACAAGAGCGTTGGGGCTGTTTAGTAATGAAGGAGAGCGACCCCACGGAGGAGGCTGACGGGACGGCTTGGCCCGGGGTCAGCACCTGGCTCGCACCGTCCTCCAGGCTCCGCGCGCGCGACCTAGGTAACAGCGGCCAGGGGAAGTCGGGAGCCTCACAGATGCACGTCGGCGCTTCCTCGCCTCGCAGCCAAGTATCCGGCTGACAAACTTTGATGGGCTGTCACATGCAATCGCGGCAAAACGCTCCATATCCCTGGCAACGGGCCGCGCGGGGAGTGGAGCTCCATGGGGCCACCACGGGAAGGTCACTTCAAGGACAGCCACAAAGATGCTCACCATCCCACCTTGACTGCCCCGAGGCAGCCTGGACAACCTGCAAGACCTTAAGCTCTACCTGACCCTTCTCCTGCTGCCTTCGGACAAGCCCCTCGGAGGGAGCGAGTTGGTGGCTGGCAGGCAGGAGAGCCCATGAAGCTGGTGGAGCAAGTGCAGGTGGCAATCCGGGTTGTGCTCTCTCCTGGGAGGGCCGATCCCCCCAAACTAGTCTAGGAGGACCACGTAAAGGGAGCAGGAGGGGGGAAAGGCACGGCCAGGCTTGGCCCAAGGTAGAGGAGCTGTTGTCCCAAAGGGAGCTATGGACAAGGCTGGGAAAACTCTTCTTTCATCAGGTCAGTGACCACCATTTTACATACAATATGGGCATTCCCCACTAAAGCAGTGCTCCTAGAAACATTGGTTTGTGTATCCAAATTACAGGGTCACTCAGAAGGAAAATGTTTGAGCAGATGGCTTTTTCCATCAGTAAGAAAGTTCGGTTGGGCATATTAGATATCTGGTCTGCACTGGGCTGTCCTAGCCTCTCCAGAGATGGGGAGCCGAGCTGCTGGGACACCATGAGGGACATGGAGCCAACCCAACAGAAAGGCAAGAAGCCTTTTCCTTGTCCAGATGCTCTCTTTCCCCCATGTACCCCTCTTTCATCCTGTACAACCTTTCCGCCTGCAACCCGCGCATCCCCACACAGCTTCGGGAGACCCAGCAGCCCCAGGACAGCGAGCAGCCTCAGCCAACCCTGCACCTCAGCTGGTTTCGGTGCCACGCCAGCACAGCCCACATGGGCCAACACCAGTGGTTTTAGAGGATAGTCGCCACTTTGGAGCTGGTTTCTCTCCGCAGCACTTCGGCAGTGGCGTTTCCAATGAGGAGCATCAGAGACATCAATTGTGGTCATGAAAGAGAAGTATGAAAGATATACGAGCCCTTAGCAACTTCCTCCACTGTTTTTCCAAGAGATCAGCTGCTGCCCAGTTCCCCACAGCAGGACTTTTCAGAGGCCAGGCAGACCCAGCCGTGCACGCAGGACACGGCTCCTTTAGCACTTTGGTTTAGACCAGGCTGCACTCTGCACTGCTCCCAACAGCTCCCGTTTATCACACTTTGGTCTTCTCTGGAGAAACAAAACTAGAAGATGCACCTAGTGGCTGCTCCAAACACCCAGGGGCATTGCAGGGCTGGGCCAGAGCCAGCCTCCAAAATGCCGGGAGCATGAGTCAGGCCCTCAGCGCCATCCTGCCCTACAGCTCGCTCCTGCTGCTCCTCACAAAGAGCAGCAGGTATCGCCGCCCGGCTGCGTCCCACACTGCCCGCCAGCCACCGCGCGCCAGACGGGTTAACTGCCATGACGGCGCAGGAGCTGGAGCGAGAAGCCTGCGTGGAGAGCACAGCAATGCTGCCAGGGTTTCCCTGCTCAGCCATCCCCATGCCGCCAAGCTCAGCCCTTCAGGGCAGATGTAGACCTCCCAAGGAGGACGTGGTCCTTCTTAGGAGGACCACCCTTGCTCTCCTATGGGTCCAGTGAAGGTCCGTGAGAGATCCCCATCCACCCTCCACCCAGAGGAGGCTCAGCCTGACCTACCTCACTCCAACGGACCTGTCCAACAAGCTCTGGACACCTTCAGCAGAGCTTCTCCATCCTCACCCCCGGACTGGTCCCAGTGCTTTACTGGTGGTTGTTGGGACAGTCAAGTGGCTTAACAGCTCGTGGCATTCACGGACACGCACGGGGAAGGATGCACAAGCAGGGAGCTTCTAGAGCGCTGCAGACGCTTCTCAATAGGCTCCCAAAGTCGTTGGATGTTGACTGGGAGGTGGAGATTCACCTCCGAGCGAGCAGAAGGGCTCGCGCCCCGCGACGCGCAGCTGCCCGAGCTGCAGCTACCGAGCGAGCTAGAGTCCGACACAGAGCAAAGGTCTCCTCTCCTCCCGCACCAGCCTGTCATCTGCTGCTGAATCATCCCTGCAACAAGGTCAGCCCTGCTCACGAAAGGAGCTGCAAGTCCTTAATTAGAGGCCACTTTGGCCCCTACAGCAACGGAGACACCGGGGCGGCCCAGCTGCAAGGTGAGGGCAGGAAGTGCAACCCAGAAAAGGGGGAAATAAAAAAAAACACGTGCAGAGGAAGGGGATTTTTTTTGGGAGGGCGCCCCCCCCCCCCCGCCGCGATCGCCCCTCAACGGGGCACGGCCGGCAGGCAGCCGTAGGGGTTTTCGGCGAGATGAGAAAGCGGGCGCAGCGCCGAGGACAAGAAGGAAGTTCACCTCGCCGAGACGCGCAGGGTGGAAAACAACGCAGCCCCGGGGAGTTTTGTGCTTCTTGTCTGGCTTCGTATTTTTAAACACGGCCTCCCCCACCGATGCCGGGAAGCTTTTCTGCAGCGTAGGTTCATTTTGTGTTGGTTTTGGATGCCCTATTTTGCAAGGTGAACCCTGTAAGCTGCTAAAAGCACAGACGGAAAATAAATACAGGCTGACTCCTCTACGGAGGGGGAAGAAAGGGCGCGGGAGCATCAGCTGGGGAGAGGCTCACCTCTCCAAACGAAGGGGAAGGAAGGCAAGATGTAAGTAGCTGTAAGATGCAGCATGAAACATTTATGAATGGAGGAGACAGCAGCAGGAGACTGAACCTGATGTCTTCAGCTATATTTATCTGCTCGCATCCAGCCCTTCAAAACCTTTGCATCCTCCAAACTGCTAGCGAGTTTAAAA